ATTTTAGAGTTTATTAGCAGCTTGTTTGTTGTACCTTTTTTAAATGCGGCCAAGTAGGCCTGCGTACAATGTTGTTGTTGTTGTTGTTGTTGTTGTTGTTGTTGTTGTTGTTGTTGTTGTTGCATTAAGTGTTTAAGAGGTCGACTTCTGCCTAAGCAATTTCGACTGACCTGTCCCTCTTTGGGTCTCTTGTGTGTGAGTAGGGTACACATATCTATTGTGAGTTTGGTATTCACATAATTTCTGTTTTTGTATTGTGTTGATATGATTTCTGTTTTCTTATATTGATAAGATTTCATTTTTATCCTTGGCTGCTCTGTTTATATACGTTCGAGTAGCTGTCCATCTATCAGAAATAGAGTTAGTTTGGCCTTCGCTATTGCATCTCTTGGCTTTAGGAGATCTATGACAGATAGCGGATCTAACTGCAATTCTTGTTTTAACCTAGTCCGGGCTGGGGCATGGTCTTCACATTCTAGTAACACGTGAGCAATAGTTTCAGCCTGATTGCAAGATGAACAAACCTTGTCGTACAGTGCTTTTTTTGACCGAGTCTGAGGCGTGAGATAGCAATTTCAATTTTCCTACATTTGACTATGAGTTTGGCTTTTGTTGGACCTTGCGTTGAATTTTGTATAGCCATCAGCCGATCTTACTTGCGTCCCATTGGGCTTGCCATCTTTCTGCCATGGAGGCATTGATTTTGCTTTTTATCTCTAGTTTACTACAGGAAATAGCCTGTATATCTGCTTTGTCTAGAGCTAGCTTCGCCAGTGAGTCTGCTTTTTCATTTCCATGAATATCTATGTGAGAGGGGATCCAACACAGCTCCACCTGTTGCCCTTGGTCCGATAGTTTTGTATATTCGTGTAGAATATTGTTGACTGTGTTTGGCCTGGAGTTTGAGTTTCTGCCACTGAATGCTTGAAGTGCACTAACCGAATCTGATAGGACGACTGCCTTTGCTTCCGGAAGTTCAGGTATGAGTTTGAGTGCATGATGTATTGCCTCTAATTCAGCCGTGAATACTGATCACTGACCATCAGGCAGGCGAACTGAATGTGCTTGGGGTTTGGAGCTGTGGATATGGATCCCGTAACCAGCACTGTTGTTGATAGGATTCTTGGATCCATCAGTGTATATATATGGGCCCAGCTGTTCCAGGTAGTTTGAATTTTAGTGATAGCTACTGATCGTAGTAGGGTTGGGTTTTCTTTTTTAGTGACTTCTGATGTTAAAGCAGTGTCAACTTTGGGAGTTTTTAAAGTCCAGGGAGGGTTTAACCCTTTGTTGTGACTTCCTGGAGGCTGAATGTCATAACAATTGTGACTTCGAATGAGTTCACGTACTAATATCCCAGATGGCTTTAGTGAGGGATTTTTTTCGAGCTAGGGCTTCATCTCGAGTGTTTTTGTCTTGCCATATCTTTTTAACCAAAGGGTTCGATGGTCGTCCCCAGAACGATAATATTGCCTGCTCCCTTCTTAGTTCCAATGGGAGTTCTCCCGTTTCTACTTGTAGTGCTTTTAGTGAGGTGCCTGTTGCCAGCATTAGGGCTTTGTATTGTATTCTGTCTAGGCGCCTCAAAACAGTATTTGATGCTGAATGAAAGGCCTCACAACCATAGTCAATTTTTGATCTGATAAGAGATTTGTAGAGGTCCAGTTGAGTGGTCCTCGAAGTGCCCAAAGATGTGCCTGAAATTGCCCGTAATACGTTCAGGTCTTTTTGACATCTGTTTTCAAAATATTCTATACGTTTGCGCCAAGTGAGGTGTTGATCAAGGATCACCCCAAGAAATATTGCAGATTTTTCGAATTTGATTGGTTTGCCTTTTATGGAGACACGGGGTATCATATCATCTTTCCCCCGGCGTTTGAATAGAACTCCAACAGTTTTTTCACTTGAAAGGGTGAATCCCCATTTATTGCACCATTGATCTACTCCGTCCAGGGCTGACTGGAGTTTTTTTCTGATTTGTGAAATATCTCTTTGCTTTACCCATATTGCTCCGTCATCAGCGAATTTAGAAGTTTGGGTAGGAGAGTTGACATGGTCAAAAAGATCATTAATCATGATATTAAACAGGGTTTGGCTTAAAATGCTGCCTTGAGGCGTGTCTTTGTCCAGTGCCATAGGATCAGATCCATTGTTCCCTATTTTAACTGATAGCGACCTGTCTTGCAGGAAGCTGTCTATGAAGTTTGCCATGTTTCCTTCTACTACATTTTGTGCTGTTGTTGTTGCATTAAGTGTTTAAGAGGTCGACTTCTGCCTAAGCAATTTCGACTGACCTGTCCCTCTTTGGGTCTCTTGTGTGTGAGTAGGGTACACATATCTATTGTGAGTTTGGTGTTCACATAATTTCTGTTTTTGTATTGATATGATTTCTATTTTCTTATATTGATATGATTTCATTTTTAACAGACTATCTACTCACTTCCTTTTTGATGACCTCTTCCGATCAGGTAAAACAAATTCCCTAAATACTTGGTCATTTTCTATTCACAAACAACAAATACCACGTTGTACAGCTCATTATAAAATTCACCTGGTAGGTAAATATATCTGATTTTATTTATTTACAGTTTATAATGCGCAGTTACCGAGATTTAGTGTGTTGTAATTGGCGAGCGGTTGCATTAAAAACAATAGGTAACTTTAATAAAACCCATAACATATTATAATTTACAAGACGATTAGTTTTCGTGTATAAAGAGACATAAGTGTATCAACCACCTATACCTAATAACTTCGTACACAAAGAAATAATTTCTGAACTCAAAACACACTTGAGCTTCACTTTAAGGTAATTTGACGATAAAAAAACGGAAACTTATTAACATATCACATTACGTAAAGTAATTTTTTTCATATGTTTTAAACAATATAGATTCCCATTAATTTTGTTACATAATGATCGTGCATGCATATCAACATTTTACATGAAGAAATAAGATTGCCAAACAGGTCTGAGTGCCAATATAATTATCTAAAAAACACTACAGACATTACAATCAAACATGGGGTGCAGTATTATTTGAATACAAAGTTAGTAAATCAAACAGAATATTGAATACAATTCTTCCCTAAGTTAAACAAATATTGCAGTAAATTAAAGCGTCAATCCAAGCCATTATGTCAGAAAATAAAGTTGCTGATGTGTAACAGTATTTAAAAATGTCATTCAAATTTATCTCATAAAATCTTATTATGCAAGAAATCTGGTAATTGTACAATATGTAAAATAAATGGGGTGCAATCATCGAAAATATATTATTTGTGTACGACATTCACAGACTGTTACACAATTAGTGTCAAAACATTTGTATTCTTCAAAACAAATGGGGGAGTCATTTGAGCCTGGGGAGTTATCTAAGCCTACGACGGGGGAGTCGTTTGGGCCTAAGGGGAGTCGTCTGAGCCTGGGGAGTCATTTGAGCCTGGGGAGTTATCTAAGCCTACGACGGGAGAGTCGTTTGGGCCTAAGGGGAGTCGTCTGAGCCTGGGGAGTCATTTGAGCCTGGGGAGTTATCTAAGCCTACGACGGGAGAGTCGTTTGGGCCTAAGGGGAGTCGTCTGAGCCTGGGGAGTCATTTGAGCCTGGGGAGTTATCTAAGCCTACGACGGGAGAGTCGTTTGGGCCTAAGGGGAGTCGTCTGAGCCTGGGGAGTCATTTGAGCTTGGGGAGTTATCTAAGCCTACGACGGGAGAGTCGTTTGGGCCTAAGGGGAGTCGTCTGAGCCTGGGGAGTCATTTGAGCCTCCTCCACCGGGCTACGCGCACCTACAATCGGCCGCCATATCACTCCTCATAACCGTCGGCTTTGAGACATACACGAGATTCCTGTACCGGAGACCTAGTATGTCATGAAGTGCCCATGGATTCTGCAACAGGATACGGGATAAAAAGGAATGTAACAGTACACCAGTATCGGAGGGAAACTCCTGTTTAGATTAGTTGTTAGATACCCTGACAGTTAATGCTAAAAATATACTGAACCGCAAAAGAAATGTCACCCCAAGAAACATTGCATGAAAAGTTGTCATATAACTATAGGGCTAATTTTTGTCAAACTTTCTCAAATTTAACATTACCTTAACTAACTAAACAGATGACAATTAAACCGATCGCCGAAACGCATCACAGCAACGGCAATGGTTACCCGATGCACGTGAATTACGTGCAAATTGAAATGCACATGGGTTCCCCAATTTCTTGCCCTATAAAAATCCACCCAGATCGGATAACATTCATTCGTTGTTGAATTGCAACCACATGCCAAGATTGACAAGAATTCAGCGACACCAAGCCCCTGGACGATTGCAAGCTGGACAAACCGCCCGGCAAATAGCCAATACATTTCAAGTCCACGTTAGAACCATTTACAGGCTCCAGCAACGGTACCAGACCACCAACACTACAGATGACCGACCACGTAGTGGAAGACCAAGGGTCACCACCCGACGTCAGGATCGTCAGATTGTGCGACAGCATCTTCAAGATCGCTTTGTTACTGCTGCGGAAACTGATCGACAGACCATGGGGACACACCAGCGACACATTAGTGCGGACACCGTGCGTCGATGATTGACGAGCAGACACCTCCACTGTCACAGGTCCCACCGAGGAACAATTCTGACACCACGTCATCGCCGCGACCGTCTTCAGTGTGCAACACAGCACCAGCATTGGCGCAACCAGCCATGGTAACGTTTCTTTTGCGGTTCAGTATAATTGGCAGTGGTTATGTTTTTTCGGAAGGTTTTCACTTATCAGTAATTAATGCGGGGGTATAATACATTAATGATAATAATTATTTTTTGGTATCTATTATAATTGTTGTACGATGTTCTATTTTACTGTAGTTGCTACCTTACTTTAGAAGGGAAAACTATGTCCAATCTTAAAATAGCATACTCTATATCGTACCAGTGTTAAGGTCAATGGTATTACGTATAAAGTCCTTTGTCAATCACGTCCATGTCACGTGGTACCACTATCACCGGGTATACAGACTCCAACTTGTCAACAACTTTAAGGGTTCATTTGGACCTACAACGACACAATAGATAAACCAAATTGTATTATCATAGCGTCAAGGACTAATGAAGACGTCAGACTTTACCTTCATCCGTGCTCTGACTGCATAACGTAAGTCTTTCGTGACTACACTTTCCTTGATCAATGTAAGGTGTGATGCCCAAATATGTGTAACTAATTATGTTTGTATTATGTTGGTCGGAAGTGAGTGTATGTTGTTTGTCCTGCTGCTTCGAATCTCGTCCAAATCATTGGTTGATTATTCATCATTATTATCATTATGTTATACACTTATATGCCGCAGGTATCCAGGTACTAGTCTCTGCTCAAATGCGGATTTATTTGTTTCCCGACCAGTGGATCCGTTTGCATTCCAGTTATGATTCTCAACTCCCTGGGGAGTATACAACCTAGGCATATCCCACCTCACATATCGGGTACCCATTCCCTGCTGGGTGAGCAGAGGCACATTTTAACAAAGTCACTTGCATGGGTGACACCACATATTTTGAAACTTGTGTTACAGGTGTATGTACGTATTCCTGTTTCCACCATCTTGTCATCTGCCATCGGACGAGTGGGTTCTTTGGCGTGCACAGGGTGAATGCACTGTACACTAGGGGTAGTGACAACACTGTCAAGACCTGTAAACATTGTTGGTCCCAAAGCTGAATAACAACCCGGTCAATGATGACCCATGCTGCACAATCGCACACAAGATCAACCATGACACACAATGTTTCAAGTAAAAGAGAGAATCAAGTAAAAATATGTACTTCTAACAGATTCATCTTAATGTCGATAATTGTTTGTAAAATAGCTTGTTAAATTTTGTTATTTCGATATCTGGAGAGGCCCCAAAGTACCCAATGTTTGACTGGGAATCATGTGCTCCGGCTCTATGACCTGAGTGAGTGTGTTTTATCGTACATTGATAGAGGTGTGGGGTGGCGGGGGTGGGGGCTTTGTCCCCTGCTTTAAGTCACTGGTTTGCCTGTTCTAGACTCGGTTATTTAAAGGGCCAAGGAGAATGCTGAATGCGGAGCTAATACGATGACTGTAATCTGTCTCTATCGAATTGAGTATTCTGACAGCGAAATGCAAACAATGTTGAAATCGCATGAAAACTGTTATACGGCACATGTTTATGCATATTTGGATAGGTTATCGAACGTTTCGACTAACCTGACTTCAAACATGATTCATGTACACATACAAATAAATTGTGCTCAGAAGATGCACATACATAGGTAACATGAAGCATCAGACCGACATAGTAGGGTCAGCGTCGTAGCCTGAATCGCCTTAATACCCAATTGGTCACTTGAAGCCATTTATTTAGACTTGTATTTGGACTAGCTTTAGCCACGGTTAAGTAAGATAAGATAAAACACGTTAATAAAGTAACAAATCACAAGTCATTGGGTCCTTGCAGATTATAAGAAACGGAATAAGACGTTTGACAAAGGGATTAGGTATTTAGTATAGCAGCACCATGTAACAGTGTTACCAGTGTTACCACTGGAACCAGTAGGCAGGAGATAGATGGAGGCAGACAACAGTGTAACAGTGTTACCAGTGTTACCCCTCGAACTAGTAGGCAGGAGATAGATGGAGTCAGACAACAGTGTTACTGTGTTACCCCTGGAACTAGTAGGCAGGAGATAGATGGAGGAAGACAACAGTGTAACAGTGTGACCCCTGGAACTAGTAGGCAGGAGATAGATGGAGTCAGACAACAGTGTAACAGTGTTACCAGTGTTACCCCTGGAACCAGTAGGCAGGAGATAGATGGAGGCAGACAACAGTGTAACAGTGTTACCAGTGTTACCCCTGGAACCAGTAGGCAGGAGATAGATGGAGTCAGAAAACAGGGTTACAGTGTTACCCCTGGAACTAGTAGGCAGGAGATAGATGGAGGCAGACAACAGTGTAACAGTGTTACCAGTGTTACCCCTGGAACCAGTAGGCAGGAGATAGATGGAGGCAGACAACAGTGTTACCCCTGGAACCAGTAGGCAGGAGATAGATGGAGTCAGACAACAGTGTAACAGTGTTACCCCTGGAACTAGTAGGCAGGAGATAGATGGAGGCAGACAACAGTGTAACAGTGTTACCAGTGTTACCCCTGGAACCAGTAGGCAGGAGATAGATGGAGTCAGACAACAGTGTTACCAGTGTTACCCCTGGAACCAGTAGGCAGGAGATAGATGGAGTCAGACAACAGTGTAACAGTGTTACCCCTGGAACCAGTAGGCAGGAGATAGATGGAGGCAGACAACAGTGTAACAGTGCTACCAGTGTTACCCCTGGAACCAGTAGGCAGGAGATAGATGGAGTCAGACAACAGTGTAACAGTGTTACCCCTGGAACCAGTAGGCAGGAGATAGATGGAGGCAGACAACAGTGTAACAGTGCTACCAGTGTTACCCCTGGAACCAGTAGGCAGGAGATAGATGGAGTCAGAAAACAGTGTAACAGTGTTACCCCTGGAACCAGTAGGCAGGAGATAGATGGAGGCAGACAACAGTGTTACCAGTGTTACCCCTGGAACCAGTAGGCAGGAGATAGATGGAGTCAGACAACAGTGTAACAGTGTTACCCCTGGAACCAGTAGGCAGGAGATAGATGGAGGCAGACAACAGTGTAACAGTGCTACCAGTGTTACCCCTGGAACTAGTAGGCAGGAGATAGATGGAGTCAAACAACAGTGTAACAGTGTTACCCCTGGAACCAGTAGGCAGGAGGTAGATAGAGTCAGACAACAGTGTAACAGTGTTACCCCTGGAACTAGTAGCCAGGAGATAGATGTAGTCAGACAACAGTGTAACAGTGTTACCAGTGTTACCCCTGGAACCAGTAGGCAGGAGATATATGGAGTCAGACAACAGTGTAACAGTGCTGCCAGTGTTACCACTGGAACCAGTAGGCAGGAGATAGATGGAGTCAGACAACAGTGTAACAGTGTTACCCCTGGAACCAGTAGGCAGGAGATAGATGGAGTCAGACAACAGTGTAACAGTGTTACCCCTGGAACTAGTAGGCAGGAGATAGATGGAGTCAGACAACAGTGTAACAGTGTTACCCCTGGAACCAGTAGGCAGGAGATAGATGGAGGCAGACAACAGTGTAACAGTGTTACCCCTGGAACTAGTAGGCAGGAGATAGATGGAGTCAGACAACAGTGTAACAGTGTTACCCCTGGAACTAGTAGGCAGGAGATAGATGGAGTCAGACAACAGTGTAACAGTGTTACCCCTGGAACCAGTAGGCAGGAGATAGATGGAGGCAGACAACAGTGTAACAGTGTTACCAGTGTTACCCCTGGAACTAGTAGGCAGGAGATAGATGGAGTCAAACAACAGTGTAACAGTGTTACCCCTGGAACCAGTAGGCAGGAGGTAGATAGAGTCAGACAACAGTGTAACAGTGTTACCCCTGGAACCAGTAGCCAGGAGATAGATGGAGTCAGACAACAGTGTAACAGTGTTACCAGTGTTACCCCTGGAACCAGTAGGCAGGAGATAGATGGAGTCAGACAACAGTGTAACAGTGCTACCAGTGTTACCACTGGAACCAGTAGGCAGGAGATAGATGGAGGCAGACAACAGTGTAACAGTGTTACCCCTGGAACTAGGAGGCAGGAGATAGATGGAGGCAGACAACAGTGTAACAGTGTTACCCCTGGAACCAGTAGGCAGGAGATAGATGGAGTCAGACAACAGTGTAACAGTGTTACCAGTGTTACTCCTTGAACCAGTAGGCAGGAGATAGATGGAGTCAGACAACAGTGTAACAGTGTTACCCCTGGAACTAGTAGGCAGGAGATAGATGGAGGCAGACAACAGTGTAACAGTGTAACAGTGTTACCCCTGGAACCAGTAGGCAGGAGATAGATGGAGGCAGACAACAGTGTAACAGTGTAACAGTGTTACCCCTGGAACCAGTAGGCAGGAGATAGATGGAGGCAGACAACAGTGTAACAGTGTAACAGTGTTACCACTGGAACCAGTAGGCAGGAGATAGATGGAGGCAGACAACAGTATAACAGTGTAACAGTGTTACCCCTGGAACCAGTAGGCAGGAGATAGATGGAGGCAGACAACAGTGTAATAGTGTTACCCCTGGAACTAGTAGGCAGGAGATAGATGGAGTCAGACAACAGTGTAACAGTGTTACCCCTGGAACCAGTAGGCAGGAGATAGATGGAGTCAGACAACAGTGTAACAGTGTTACCAGTGTTACTCCTGGAACCAGTAGGCAGGAGATAGATGGAGGCAGACAACAGTGTAACAGTGTTACCCCTGGAACCAGTAGGCAGGAGATAGATGGAGTCAGACAACAGTGTAACAGTGTTGCCCCTGGAACCAGTAGGCAGGAGATAGATGGAGTCAGACAACAGTGTAACAGTGTTACCCCTGGAACCAGTAGGCATGAGATAGATGGAGACAGACAACAGTGTAACAGATGTAAAAAGGTAACAAACTACGTGTTGATGGCCCCAGAACAAATTGCCGGACCTGATGAATCTGAACGTGTGGGAATGTATGCATGAGCAATAGTGAGCTACATCCTTATTGTAAGTGGGATCGTGTTAGATACTCTACTCTAGGTGACACGTCGAATGTGTCATTAGTTTAATGCAGTACATAATGGACTCGGTACTATTCATCCTTATGTTCAGAAGTACAAATATCACCATGCAACGGCACTTCTCGATTCTGTTGTACTGCCATAGTTTCTTTATGAAGTCACGTTCAAAATTACGATTATAGCAAATATTGAGTTAAGTGTGTTTCCCTCTATATGCCTCAATTCAATAATATCGAAAAAAGATTTTTCTGCTGAAAATGTATTCTCTGTTTTATCATATAACGAATGTAAACAGTTAGCATTATTAATCTTGTCATATATTCCGGTTGTTCAAGACCCACTACGCCACTTACCTCCGACGTAATTACGGTGTCCGGTACAAAGCCACGTGATATCAGCTCGCGTTGACGAGATAAGCACCCCCACTCTCATCATTTATACACCTGTACTGGATAAGGACATCAAAGTTTGAAAGTTTTCACGATGGCCAAGGTGAGTTAGCCCTATTGCTTGGTGTTACTAATTAATTAATGCCATTGGAATCATATCATAGAGTTGACTCTTGTACTACAATATGCTGTAAGAAGCGTGTTTATTTTTAGGTTGACTGAAAGACGGATAAATGTTTGCACTCCGTTGTGGATATCCATGGTGTTTATACACATATAACTGTAATGTGAAACGGGTATGAACCATTGACACAGGCGGTTCTAAAGCCACATGCCTCGCTCCTTCTTATAACGAATGCGAGTTCCTCTGGTTATTTTAGAGTCATTGCGATTTGTTTAGTTCAGGTCTTATTCATTACATTAGTTGATCGATGTAGATGAAGGCGATCCAGGAGTAATTGCCTGGGACGACATTTTATTGTGTGTAATTACATGCTATCTGCATATTGCTATATTACATGTTACAAAGTATTTATGAATACATGTTTAAATGTAGCGGAATAGTTGATAAAGTGAAACAAAGTACATCACATACTTATACATGTTATCCTTTAAAGAAACATTCATCCTTTATTTCATTCCCAGGATAATACTGATTGAGTTTATGTATTAGTCTCTCAAACCCTAGATCAAATATTTAATTTAAAAAACATACCATTCAGTTCTCACCCCTCCTCAGCTCCATCAGCAAATACCCTTGCCCTTTTCAGCTATTGGCAGGAGGGTTCCTTAATACCTGAGGGTTCTTATTTTTAAATTGGTTTTAATCAACATATAGATATATTATTTCGTGGACTATTTGTTAGTCTAGAGTATCATAGGCGTGCGATATGTACGTACAACATCAACCTTAGTTCCCAGAACAGTTTAAGTTTTACATGTTGCTAGACTGATTTATTTCACGTTTGTATATAGGAGGATGTGTGAAACATTTATTCCATGTTACTATTGATCCTTTTAGAAATGCCTAGCAGCAAATATTCGACGATTACTTGCAAATAATACGTGGATTTATTGTCCTGCATGTGATGATGAAATCAACAGCTGGTGACAATGGCTTCACTTATATGTATCTGATAATAACTAGTTTCAGTTGTATGTTTGTATACAAGTCATGTTCCCCACCCTACCATTCACGTGATGAATGGACACGGAGAGGTCCTGATACGTTGTGAGTGTAAAATATAGAAGCTATTATCCATGATACTCCTTGTCATGTTTAAATCCAACTTTCAAATAATCAATTGAATTTCCTACCAAATCATGAATATATGCAAATCGATTAATAAAAATGTTTAATATCATTATTAGATTATTAGGTTTAAAATAGAATGTACAAACCGTCTCCGTGGTCTAGTGGCAGAGCGTCTGCCCAGATAGCGGAGGGTTGGAGCTTCCATCCCCGGCCGCGTCATACCAAAAGACAGTAAAAGATTGTACTTGTTCTTACCCTGTCTAGCGCTCGGGGCTAAAACAAGGACTGGTCGGCTCGGAGTCAGTATACTGTGTCTGAGTTGGGTATTCATAATAAACTGAGGCATGGTATCTCAGTGGGCAAGCACTATAAAATCGGCATTAGTCCGGACTAGTACACGCAGCCACACACACGCACGTGCATGCACGAACGCGACGTTAAATTTCATTTCACCCCAGCCCACCTCACAAACAATAAGCAAATTAATGAGATATAAACCACCACTGTGCAGTGAAAGACGTATAACTTATCCCCACGCCCCCGTTCATACATAGTGAGGTCTTATCTTCATTGATGTGTAGAATCCCGTCCACCTTGACACCATGAACCCTCGTTTCTGGGTGTGTAACACAATATTGTCAGCGCATAGCTGTACGCCCCAGCATAGATAAACATGGCCTGGTGACGACATAGTAAAATACCTGTTGAAAGTTAAATCCACTTAAATTGTTTTGTTCTTCTATCTTCTATATCTCGAGAAGGGGCGTGTAATATGTACATGTATAGTAACACTGGATGAATATAATTAAATACTAATATTCTTTGGATATGCAATTGGAGAATACATATTTGAGTGAACTTATTTCCAAAATTATTACCTTGTACACATATATCGAAATAATTGAAATATTTTATGATTCGGTCACATTTGGACAGTCGTGTCAAATAACGTCTTATCGCAAACATATATCATCAACGATTTACAGTTATACTTGAACATCAATAAAACTCGGGGTTCCCGATATAAGTGGGTTCTTGATGGATTTTCAATAGATTTACAGCGGGCGTGTCAAAACATGGTGCCCCATTTCCTGTCAGACGGGCTAGTCCTACCTTAGTTCTCAACGATAACAACATCATTGACTACAACGCTATGTTTATCATGCATAGACACGCTGGTAGAAACTTCTAACTATCCATTCTGGGCGTCATGCAAGACGTAATTACGTGGATGGGCATACTTGCTGGATCATGTTTGAGTTGTGTAAATGTCGAAAGTGTTAACATACATTTATCAAGAATACCTTGCCTTACAGTTGCACGCACAATCAACACACTCGTATTGTTGTACACACGATCGTATCTCCGGTTGGATACTATAACGTGCCTTATAAAAAATGATTATCTTGGATAGGGGGAGCTGCAGTGGGGAACAGTGTCGTCAGTATCTGGACACATACTACAATGTACGTGTGCTTATTGTTTTAGTGAAGATCATTTTTTATTATTTCATGAATATGTATGTTGAATGCCTTCTCTACACATTTACGGACCAAGCATGTTTTGCCGGGCTTCCCGATAAACGTTGTCGCAATAGTTTGAATAATAGCGACAAAGCCCTTTCCATAATCATAAGATATATCTACTAAAAGCAGAGTCCATTCTACGATTCTGACCATATGAGCATGTGTTTATGAGTCGCTTACAGCTAGTTACGATACCAGCTGGGGGTTGAAAAACTAAATTTGTAAATCTCTTTGGAATACATATTAGTTGGAATTTACCTAACGTAGTAGCACATGGGTAATATGGAAGACGTCATTTATAGACACGTTAGTATGTATCCTTTATTAGATACCGGTTACTTATACTGTCAATGACACAGGGTAAATACCCATTTAACTCTCCTATAAAGCTATGTTTTGAAGTAAGTGGATGTCATAGCAGGTAGGATATAATGTTATGTTTATCAACTTATTCAGGCAAAGAGTTCAAGGTATTTTTCCGCCCCTGAAGATTTATGAACCATTCCTCTCTTCATCAAATTGCGACAATTACCATGGTAATATACGTGTTTCAAAGTAGGAAAAGCCTCGGTGTTAAATTTCGGTATTAACTCAAATGAATCCGCAGATGCTCCGCACCATGCATGTCTTGTAACAGAGGATGACGTTCGTTTATTATCCAACTGGTATATAATCACATATACATTGTATGATGACATTGTGTATATGCCCTATGAACGTTGTGGCATGACCAATATAGTGACAATCATAGGGGTGACATAAGAGAAGAAATACATGAATTTATTATATACATATGAATGAAATATTGGAATTTATCAGTGACGATAGATCAAGTTATCAGTCACTAGTGACTGATATAAAAAAGTTATATCAGTCACTTGTGAATGATATAAACAAGGTGCCGGAACTACTTTCTCCTGAATCAAAACATTAAAGAGTTATCCCCCTTTTTTTACGTCAGATGCCGACTGTACTCAGTCTCAACCGCAGGTGCATAACTTCTCTTCAATTGACCACAGGAACTTATTGACGAGTCTGATGTCTGGAAATACCATCTATGGCAATGTTAATATCACTCTTGCGCCGGACATGCTTCGCCAGACATTAGGCACAACTGGCGACAGCAGACGTACCGCCGAGGCGAGAAGCGCCCGCTTGAATTTTCCGAGAATTGAACTTTCCTAATTTAATTCTTGACAGCAAGCAACAATGTTTCAGTTACAATGTTCGGGGTTCTATAAATGTGTTTATGTCAACTTTCATACTTATCCGTGAGAAAATTTGATCAAATTTGGCGGATTTTGTAAGCCTGGAGAGCGCTCAGATGATCGTTCGACCTGGTCACAGTGCTAACTGTTTATGTATTCCTACGCCAATAAAATAATCGCTGTTTGAAAATGATTTCTGTTTTCATTTCAAACAGGAATGTTTAATTATGACAAACAAAAATGTCCACGGAACTTAATACTCGATATGAAATAATATATTTCGCATAACATATATTAACAGGGCTAGTTTTATTCACGAACTATATTCTTTTCGCAAACCCCCTTTATACGGCGGTGGTAAAGGGGCGACAGGGAGAACTTAGTAATTTATCAGACACTGTTTTCGAAAAAATATATATTGCAAGTAATAAAAATAAAACATGTATATAATAAATAGAAAATTCAATGTGTTTTCCCAAATACCACTTTGGCTGCGTCACTCGTGAAAATATTAGACTCTCCCCACTTCACTCGATGAGATAAAAGTGGTATTTGAGAAAACACATTAAATATCCTCTATGTATTCTACTACGTGTTAGTTCCATAACAAGGGTAACAATTTGTTCACATGCTATATTGTATGCACGTATTTCTGGTTATGGCATTATATACAGTAACATGCTTCAATACTTGATTCATTGATATGTAATAGTTGGATTAATTAAAAAATCAAACTATTTGTTGAATACTTAGTAGGTACATGGCTAAGGTCATGTGTGAAGTGTGTATCATACCAACATTGCCAAGTAACTTGCTAATGGAAACACAGGGACAGTCCTGGGCACGCCATAACTACTCTGTGTACACATGAACAGGAACCTCAATGACCTCAACCATACGCTACGTTATTTAGAAGGCATGTGGTACATATAGTGCAAACATTTAACCATGCTCGTGTTATATACTCATATATTTTATTTCGAAAATTATATTGGTTGCCTCATTGTTGTTTATTTATTTATATTGTGATCAATTGATAGAGATTAAATGTTATAATCATCTCCCTTTACTTTCATCCCCCCTCCTCTCCTCCTGTAAGTTTATTCCTAACACA